ACTGAATGCTTTTCTAATTTGCGAAACCAAATAGCCGCCACTTTGCGGTAGGAGTAGCGCATCGCGTGACCGTATTATTTTGACATTTACGCAAAGAAAACGGAATTCCGATATGCTTGCAGCCGTCCGCACCAGACGAAACTTAACAACAGTAGACTGAATAGCTCAACTAAACCGGTTTTCATTAACGAGCAGTAGCTTAAATGTGACGTTTTCAAGTGTAAATTTATTTTACCTATGGAATAAATAATCTTTGACTTTGACTTTGACTTTGAGCACCTAACACCGGAAAATAAGATGCTGTACAAAAAAGCCCGGTTGTTGGCAAAAGATAAAAACTATTCATTTGTATGGTTTTCGGACTGTAAAATATTCGTACGTAAAAATGAAACCTCAAAAGTTATATTAATTTCTGACGAAAAGGATCTGATTAAAATAAAATGACCACGAATATTCCAATTCTCTGTCTTAAAACTGTTAACTAGTATACTGTGTCATTTATTGCTATGTTATCATAAAATAAGAATTTTGGTATAATTTGAGTATTGCCATAAAAATAATATGTGTATTTTTTTTTGTGAAAGTTTATTTATAATTGTTGGTGGAACCCATTTTAGCGTGTTACTAAAATTCTCTAGCCACAATGGAAGTATTTATTATCAAAATGCGAGAGGACTACACACGAAGTCACATAATTTTTTGAGTAATATTTTTAATTCTAATTATGATATCGTATACATACGGTATCATAATTAGAATTCAAAATATTACTAATACATGTATTACAGAAACCTGGCTTAACCACAACTTTTATGACCGTGAATATATTGTGCGACGTGAATTAAGAACCCATAACCTAATTGACATGCGTGCTCCTGCGCCGGCCGAGGAGTCATGGGTCTCGATCCCGCTTCGCGCGGGTACTGCCTCCCGCTCCAATGTCACTCCGCTATATTCACATATTATACTAACCTATATAGCTCACGGTCCGAACCATGAATCTCGTTTAACATCTCCCATGCTCATTGGTACTCCATTAAATCCTCCAACAGCTTAAATATACAAACAAATAATGATAATTTACCTAGTCACACAGCTCATTTTATGAACATATCGTTATTATCACAGTATAACTATCAATGTAACATAAATAATAGATTATTAGATTTGGTCTTTTGCAGTGAAAATTGTTTAGTTACACTTTATAAATATCCTTTAGTACCCGAAGGTTTGCATCATAAATCTCTAGAGGTTGACTTAAATCTGAATTACTCCACCCCCTTGAAGATAGCGCCTATCACTAGAAAAAGACAATTTCATAAAGCAGACTTCGACTCACTAAAAACATCATTACGTGCTATTAAATGGGAACAAATACTAACCACAATGAGAGGTGTGGAATCTATGATAAGTTACTTTTATGAAATTATTAACAATCTTATATGGAAACATGTCCCCACCTGTAATTTAAATAATAACCAACACTATCCGCCCTGGTATACAAGACCTCTTATAAAACTTTCAAGAGAAAAATGTAAATATCACAAAAATCGGAAACGCTATGAGAATTCCAGAGATTATCATACTTTTTCTATGTTAAGAAAGAGATTAAAGATACTAGAACAAGAAACATACAAAAATTACATATCCATTTCCGAAAATAAGATCAAGGAAAATCCAAAATACTTTTGGTCATTTGTAAAATCAAAAAAGATCTAATTCTGATATTCCCGAAAAAATGATGTATAACGGCGAATCAATCACTGATGGTAATGAGGTTTGTGAAGCTTTCAATAATTATTTCAATTCCGTCTTTGTATCACCTCGTGACAATGAATTAAAAGACTCGCTCTTAGACAGTTTTGGATCAACTGTAGAAATGAATTCGATAAATATTAACTACGATTTGGTCTTCAAGGAACTCAAAAATGTTAATACTCAAAAAGGTGCGGGTTCTGATGAAACTCACCCTATTTTTATATCTATTTGCGCTAAAGAACTCGCGTTACCCAACCTTGTCATTTTTCGAGCCTCTATTGCATCCGGTATATTTTTATTTTGCTGTTTGGAAAAGGTCGCTTGTTACCCCTATACCAAAAAACATTATGCGAGACCAGATTACAGAATACAGACCTATCTCAAAACTCTGTGTATTAGGAAAGATCTTGTAAAAAATAGTGACTTCTCAGATGTCCTTCGGTTACCGAAACTACATCTCTGAACAGTAGTACGGATTCTTTAAAAAACGTAGCGTTGACACAAATATGGCATCTTTTGTGGAGCGCCTATCGCAAGCGCTCAGTAATAATTCACAGGTGTATGTCGTGTGCACTGACTTTTCCAGGGCTTTTGATAAAATAAATCATGATATACTTATCCAAAAGCTAACAAGAGCCGGTATGCACGGCAACCTCCTACGATGGATCAAAGCCTATATCACAAACAGGAGTCAAGCTGTCTGCGTAAAGGGATACTGCTCACAGTTTTTACCAGTACCTTCAGGTGTACCTCAGGGTTCGCATATCGTACCATTGCTCTTTTCTTGTAAGAATACAAGAATGTTGTCATTACAAATGATTACATAAAGTACCATATCACAGCCGTCTTAGTTATTATACTTGATATGATATTGCTGGCACTATAGGTCTATTTTTAAGAGAAATATATGTAAATAATTACTGTTTCATGTATGACTGTTTGTTGCCACAAATAAATAAAAAAATAATTACAAAACTGAATGTTTATGCGTGATCAGCCACCCTTAGAGGTGGATGATTTTCTTCAAAATGAAATGGGACCACTATGGAGGTACCCTTTTTCTAACAAAAAAAGAATCATGAAAATCGGTTCACAAATACCGGAGTTATCGCGTAACGTACATACAAAAAAACATACAGTCGAATTGAGAACCTCCTTCTTTTTTTGAAGTCGGTTAAAAAGCAAGGTGGAGCTCTTTAGCTCCGCGTACTCATTTGAGTAACGCGGTCATTTGTGATAAGAAATTGGATATTGTCTTCTATGGACACTCTAGTATAATTGTATTGTATCAATCCATAGACGTATCGCGGCTGGATTTGAGTTTAGTTTAATTTCCATAGTCCGTTATGGTGTAAAAATTGCGTTTCACAAGAGCTTCTTCAACATTTTCGTATCTAAATAGTAAAAATTTGTTTTGGGCCCTTTACAGTTCTCATGGTCATGGTCAGACTATTAATTTTTTTTAAATCCAAAAAACCTTTCCAATTTACGCTATAGATTATATCATCATAAACTATTTTATAATATTTGAACAATATGATTTTTCAATAAATTAAATTTATTATTGCTTAACAATTCAAATTCAAATTCATTTATTCTCAGACCAATTAGTCCGTATGTTACTGTTCACGTGTAACTCGGTGAACTTGCGGAAAACAGCCGAGTCCATTCTACCTGATATCATCCTCAGGATACCATTGGTGCTCCCACGCAATCGCAACATCTGTGACGCACTTTTTTGCGCATTATTGCATAAAAATCATCAATACACGTATCCGCAAACATGCCAGAGGCGCTGCAAAAGCGAGGAAGCCTCAACAGAACCCTAAAGATGTTATTACTTTACACGTAAGGCGTTGTAAGCTTGCTGTGTGAAGTTGGTCCACAGTGCACCTGTATAAAAATTCTGGAGTTAAGCTCTGAAAAGAGTTATTTTTACATATAGAGAGCACCTAGGAAAATTCTGAGCCAACATAATACCGCGTACCGATAACACCCTGCGCTCTCTCTGAACATCATCATCATTCAACATTTTCACTAATAATGTGTCCTAGTAACTTAAACCGCGAGATACGATTCAAGGCTACGCCATTTAGAAGAAGCGGTGGAATATTATGTAGGTCTTCTTTATATTTAAAAAGAAACTCGCTCTTCTTTTCATTGTACCTTAGTCCATGCCTCACCGTATAAGTTTCAGCATCTTTCTCAGACAGATTGATGGACTCTACTCTACTAACAATGGAAATTAAAAATATATATTGTGTATAGCAATAACTTTTGTAACTATAACAAATAGGGTCATTTGCATTAATATTTGACAACTAGTTGATGCCATTACTATCTCAGTATCTCAGACCACGGGACCTGTAAGGGCGCGTTTATTTGACACGAATTTCATCGCGTGCACGTGTGTAGCGACCGAATTGTTTTAGCAAAATACACTATTTATTTGGCATTTAAGCAGGAATTAAGTGTCTGATACAAGCTTTGTTTAAAAACATATACTTTATTTCGCCAACCTAACAAGATGGAATTCAAAATTATAATCAACCTCTTCTAACTTAAAATATGTAAAGAAGTTACAGGGCGTTGTCAGCTATGCGCAACATATGTTACCAGATCGTTGGTCCACCATGTGGGGGGCCTACCCACTGAACGTCGTCCGGTGCGCGGTCGCCGAAGAACCTTTCCACCTCAACAGCCATCTGTTCTCCTAGCTATGTGGCCCCTGCCACTTCAGCTGAGCAATTCTTCGAGCTATGCCGGTAACGTTAGTTCTCCTACGGATTTCCTCATTTCTGATTCTATCACGTAGAGAAATACCGAGCATCGCTCTCTCCATTGCCCGCTGAGTGACCTTGAGCCTTCTTATGAGGCCCATAGCTCCTGTTCTTATTTTCTTCATAAAAATTTTTCAGCGCCCGCTTTGCGGGACACGAGAGACGGTCCCCTACACCTTACCTCGTAAAATCTAAGCTCACGTTCAAATACCTTCTCTTAAAGCTTTTTCGACCGGCCAAAATCTCTAGTCGATAAGTGCGGTGAAAACCTACTTGTGCCTTCATTTAATAGCTCACTGAAATACCATGGCACCCCGTGACCTTAAATTCGCTCATTACTTCAATAACATACTGTTATTCAATTTTATAAAATGCCAGGATGTTTCACCACGATATTCACGGTAATTATGATAAACATGCTGTTATATGGAACTAGTGGGGTATACAGTGGGTAATACTTACAGCTGCCTGAAAAGTTCATAGGGTTGGTAATGGCGTCACAGCGGTCGATACTCAGTGCCACTAAGACGTATGTGGACGCGTACATCACCACCGCCTGAAACATAGATATAAAGATTGTAGATTGAAAAAAAAAAACGTTTTTAATACAGTTGCTCAAAACGTGGTATTTTTCGCACTACAAATCGTGCGGAAAGTTGGATTTCTCGCACTAGTGCTTTTTACTTTTCCAGTTTTTTTTTAATTTACTGTTGTTTTAAGTCTTAAACATAGAACTAAAGAGATTGTATATTTATTTCATATTTATGTGCTTTGTGACGTAAGTCATTCGTCATTACTATACTATATCTATGGAGAGACCGCATTTTTACACCTATGAAGTAAATGCTCCTTAGTAGCGATTATGTAGAAAATAAAGTAATATAAAATAGTAATTTTAATGTGGCTGAATACTGGCAACAGTTGCCATATTGAAAAAAGTCGGCCAAAAATTTTTTTCATCGTTTACATTCCCGCCTTTTTCATTAACTTTTTTACGATTTGATTTTGTTATTGGCAAAGGAATAAAATGAGGTTTTTTTTAAATACTGTTTTATTTTACTTTCAATGTAGGTTTTTCGCAAATGTATTAAAAAACGTTGTTTGATACACATGTGGATTTGTCATTTTCACTTGTCTCGAGCCTCGAGACTCGTGAATAATGACTAACTTTCCGCACTTGTATCAAAAATAACTATTTTGCACAGGCAGTTACGTGGTAACCACAATCTCGAATTAATTTTTCTACCAACAAAGTAACGTTTATTCGAATTTTCATTACCCCGAAAACCGAATTATAACGAAACCGTTGTTCTTTCAGGACATGTTGGATGTTTATCACAAAGACACGATTAGGTTCGGTATATGTTAGGTTAAGTTAAAAAAATAGGTTTAAAAGAAAAACATTTTCCTCTCAAAATTACTTTCGAGGTTATGAAAATCCAAGCAAACGTTATTTCAGGAAAATGTAATTTCGGAACTCTCATAGTTAGTGATAGAAGTTACGATTTTTTAACCGACTTCAAAAAAGGAGGAGATGCTTAATTCGGCTGTATTTTTTTGTACTCAATTACAACGACATTTGTGTATCGATTTCTATGGTTTCTTTTTTGATAGAAAGAGAGTACCACAATAGAAGTCCCATTCAAATTTCAAGGAAGTATCCCATCTCTCAGGGTAGTTAATTAGGGGATGAATACAGTTTATTGGATTCCATTTACTTTATGTTAACCAATTTTGTAATGTTTTTTATAAACAACCACCACTGGTACAACACAAACACCACTGGTAATCGACATGCCCGCCAATAACAGCTGCAGTGCCATTCAGAGCTTAAATTGCAAAGATCTGAGAAGCACAGCCACTGGGCTCATGACCCTGAGACATAAATTTGACAAGTTCCAAGTGCCTATACTTTCACCAACTCCTTTACCCATTTATGTCTATGATTGGACTAATCGATTCTTCATTAGGTAATTCAAATTTAACACACCTTGGCGTCTTAGCATTGAGCAATAAATTATTAGCATTAAACCACTAAACTACTTTTTAGAGGATATCGTTAATATTATCATACTATCGAGTTCTTAGGTTTTCGCGATTGTTACACATAGGAAATGAAACTATTTTTCCGGATTTAAATCGCGTATATTTGTTTTTTCAAACAAACCGACGTTTCGGGCCCTTTACAGGTCCCATGGTCACGGTTGACTGAGGTGGTACAGTCTTCAACCAGTTATGTCTAATATTAATGCAAACCACCCTATTTTTCACTATAGTTACAATAGTTATTAATTAAATACCTTATTTACTATGGAACAAGAGAATTGTGGTACTTTAGCTTTCTTAGATGTTTTAATTAAAAGAAATCCTAATAACACCCTAGGCCATACTGTATTTCGAAAGAAAACCCATACAGATAGGTACCTCAATGGTAATTCCCATCACCATCCTAGCCAGTTAGCTACCGTGGGCAAATCTTTGTTTCAGAGAGCATATGGTGTCTGCGACAGTAATCATCTGGCGGGGGAACTTCAGCATATAAAGCAAGTCCTACATGCGAATAAGTTGAGGATTCCACGCCAACGCCGCAGACCCCGTGTGAAACCACTTACAGTCGAGCGAAGACCTGCCATCTTACCTTACGTGAGAGGTGTTACAGACAAGATCGGAAGAGTCCTCAGGCGTGCATCTATCAAGACCTATTTCAAGCCCCTGAGGAAGATTTCTCAGTTCCTGAGACCCGTGAAATGTAACATCCCCTTACAGGATGCAGGAGTTTACAAGCTTGACTGTGAGTGCGGTCTCTCTTATATTGGACAAACAAAGCGAAGTATTTGTACCCGCGTCAAAGAACATATAGCTGATGTCAAACACCGTCGCGTAAACAAGTCTGCAGTCTGCGAGCATGTCATGGATAAACCTACACATTCAATGAAGTTTGACAAACCCCAGGTCCTTGCAAAAGAAGTCCGTTATCTACCCAGGATGCTGCGAGAGGCCATTGAAATTAAAAAACATCCTAATTTCAACAGGGAAGATGGTTTCTCCGTACCACCAGTTTGGGATCCAGTATTTCCTCTAATGAAAAATCCCAAACAGACATAAGACTGCAGTACTAATTAATATGTTTTAGTTTATTCTAATTTCTATTAATAATTAATAATAAATTAAACCTAATAAAAATTCATTCAATAAAATAATTTGTAAAACTTAATGTAGCGTAAATTGGAATGTTTTCTTTGTAAAATTAAAAATAAGGTATTTAATTAATAACTATTGTAACTATAGTGAAAAATAGGGTGGTTTGCATTAATATTAGACATAACTGGTTGAAGACTGTACCACCTCAGTCAACCGTGACCATGGGACCTGTAAAGGGCCCGAAACGTCGGTTTGTTTGAAAAAACAAATATACGCGATTTAAATCCGGAAAAATAGTTTCATTTCCTATTATCATACTAAATATGAAAGACGGTACTTAACTGCTAGTAGCAAATTCTACTTATTACATTTATTACAACTTTGTCCTTTTGACGAAAATACGTTGTCTACGTTTCATTTTCCGTCAATAAACACAAGATACTCGAACAAACATATTTCACAAAACTCAGAACATTCCAATGACTTCGTTGATAAATTATATACTTCGAAGAAAACGTATTGAATCGGAAAACTTAACTTCCACATTAATTTTGTGTCTTGTACGGCATCAAATATTGAAGATTATTTCAATTATCACTAAATTGAGAGCTTTATTAAGGCTTTTATCTGGTTCGGGCCAATGATCGACATTTTAAGAGAATTTGTTATCAAACATATATCAATAGTGATTACTTTACTTGGCAGATATAATCTTAAAGAAAGATAATGCTGTAGTTTCATAAAAAGCTATTATAATTATTACTAAAAGAAACAGTTAATATCCAGTAATGAACACCAAAAGTCCACTAATTAACTAACCAATAATCAACACTCACCAATAATGAATACCCAGTAATTGACATTTAACAATAAGAAACGTATTACTATGATAGAATAGTTTATCCTAAATCTTATTACAAATTAATTTAAAGGAGTCGGTCACTCGCGTCACCTTACATAATAATAAATAGATCACGTAATTTGACATTGTGGAATTGTTGGCCCTGTAACTGAATTTATTTGTTGGGGTTACTCACTCGTGTGTCCTTAGTCTAATCATAACAGCCATTGACTTACAATTATATGGACGTCGGGTCCGCGCTAAAAAGTGTCCGCACTTGTAATGCGCTAAAATCGTATACAGAGCGCCAAACTCCGCTTTAGTCTTCATTTGTTCGACTGACAGCGCGATACTGCGATGACATTACAATTTAAATTTCGAATAGGTTGACTTGGGACATTTTTTTCGTGGTTTTTGTATTAGACCCGTCGTCCATTTATTTGTAAGTCAATGATAACAGCATATGTTTTTGTTTTTTTTTTAAAAAATACCAAGTGACGGGGCGAACACGTCGTGCATCACGCCATACACGCCTATCAAACAGTTGCAGTGCCATTCAAACATTGACTTACAATTATACATTCAAAGCTTTAAATCGCAAAAATGTTATGGGCACTGCCACTGCGCCCGTCACCCTGAGACATAAGTTGACAATAATGTTTTCCTCACATAGCGCCAATCCCCACAAAATCCCCAATCTAGTTGAAATTCCCCACAATTTGGGGAATTTCCCACAAATTGGCAACGTTGGATGCAATAGTCGTATTAATTCGCGCGCGAGTCATGTCAGGTCATGTCTTTGTTTGCTGACAAATAAATAAACATTGTGAAGTAATTCCGTGTTCTGAAATGATAAAAACGATTGAAATGTGCGCGTAAGGTACTGTGTGACGGTGTGACCTCCTTACACCGTCATCTCACCTTTTTATATCGCCTCTCTCCGCTTGTATCCTATTTTTTTTTTATTTTACATGTATTTAAATTTTAGATTTGAATTGTTCCATCTTCCTTCACTTTCTCATTTTGTTTTCGTACCACGGTCACTTCCAGCTCGACCGCCACAACAGTCGGAGCTGTTTCAAATTCCATCGCGAATAATCGCTAATTCTGGTTCTTTACTACATTTATAATCATTTAATAAGCTAAATCATGTGTAATAATTTATAACAGTCTACAGCCTTCGTGTACCTATATCTGTAATTCAGTTACTCGGCCTATTTAGGGTCCTTTCTTTGAACTTTACTTGTTTAATAAATTTTGTGGACCGTAACTTTCCCGTTTCATTGCCGTGAACCTGTTCACGGCTAGTTAGGGGTACAACCTTTCAACTGTACTTTAATGCTGTGTATGTGTATTGTGCCGTCTATCAATAGAATACAGTGAAATCATTGTGTGAAATGTGGTTGGCGTGAAGAAATAACCTCAATTTTGTAATGAAAATTTTATTTCTTCCAACATAAGTTAGGTATGTCATTAAAATATTCCTTATATTTATATGATAGGGAATTTATCCATCTTTCTGCAACAAATTGGATTTTTTTCAATTGTTTTTTTGACCTAGTGTTTTGAAAAGTTTTTTATTGCATAATACGCTCACTATTCCCTATAACTTTTATAAAGTTTTTGTAATACTGTCAAAAGAAAAAATCGCTTAGAAACATCGCGTTTTGTAGACAATCATAAAAGCTTCATAGGAGTGAATTCTTCTACAAGATCAACTACACTAAAGCAAGTAAATTGTAGTATTCTAAAGTTTTTCTGTAGATAAACTAAAATGCTAAAAAGTAAATCTAAGTTGAAATTAACCTGAAGAAGCCTAGAACTTCTTGGAAATGGTTTGTTTTGTGAGTTATTTTGTATATTTAAGCTTTCTTAGATATTTAAACCGAAAATCGATAACCGTATTTTTATTAAGTTTATATTTTATACATAAATATTTAAAATTTAGCGAGCGCATTACTTTAATGGCTGGTTTTACATCACTTTTAATAATGCATTTAAAGTCGCACGTCAATTTGCATTTTCTAACCGATTAAACATTGTGCGAAAAAGTCAGAAATATTATATCTAATTTTTCCATGTTGCAATTTTGATAGTTTATATTTTGTAAGCCATTAAACTTGAAATCTATTAGTATTAAGAGAATTGCGTTTATAACACTTTAGTATTTTGGTTTTAAAATAGCATTACTAAGAAAACTATCATAGACTATAAATTATCTAAAAACTGTCTACATTCTACAAATGGTCTTGTAGCATTATAGAAAGGTTACTTGAGAAAAAAGATAAGAATCCCTCTTAGCACTACCTACAGATAGTTTCTCAAAGCACTCTTGTGATCTACTAATAAAGTTGTGCCCACTTTTACTTTAAATTATCTAGAAACCTTCATCAAGATATCTTGAGGGAATTTGAACTCTTAAAATATTTAATCGAATTAAATTCTATTAGATATCTTATAGTATATATTTAGATATGGGTGTGCTCCTTGGGTGGAAATTACCTGAAAGATGGCAACAGATTATATGAAAAGATTAACACGGCCAATACAGAATTGATTTTCATTTATTTCACACCGCACGGACTTTTAATAATAAGCATAAGAAACCTGTCAGTGTTTGATTTAATCACATTTTACCATGATTGCTACAAGAATTCTGGAATTCCCCATTTATTGTACTTACTTCGCTGACTCAGCGACCCGAAGTGGATCTTGACCTCCAACTCCAAAGTACGCCATTTTTACGGTCTTGTGCTAGTTCTGACCATTCGGGCACATTTAGCTCCCTCAGGTCTTTGGCGACTCCGTCCTTCCAGCGATATCTTGGAGACTCCACTGGACCATGCCTCTTAGGTCCCAAATGCGTTTTTTCGGCAACACTACCCTATCCCAGTCTTTCCACATGCCCAGCGAAGTCGGGCGGATTTTACTTCCCCGATTATGTTTGGCTCAGACACTATCTCTTTGATCTTTCTACTCCAAATTCTCCTTTGATTGGTCCCAGAATCTTTCGGAATATCTATGTTTATTTATTTATTTTTAGTTCTTCTTTCAGCGTTAGTGTCCATGTCACACCCACACATTAAGACTGGCCTGATTACTATTTTGTAGACACGAATCTTTCTTATGATATTTCATATTTATTGTGATAATTCACATTCAAAACGTCTTTATTATTAAGTAAACAAAGTACATTTGAAAAGCGTCAAATTCATTATAGATGTTACTCATCCGCATGACAGAAAGATTAGATTAGAGAATTCTTTAGAAAAGAATTTAATAAGAGGTTTTAGGGATTGCTCTTTGAAAATAGAAACTAAGTAATTTACATTTATCATTTACAATAATTTATTATTAAAATATCATTCATAGAAATAACTGGAAAGATCTAAACGGATCACTCCTACGTATCTTCGTCACGCAGAAGCTGTATCTATATTAATATAAATAAATAAATAAATAAATATCTTTTGTTTAAAGTTTTTCCTTCACGTTAGTTTTAAATTTACAATAATTTATTATTAAAATATCATTTATAGAATAACTGGAAAGATCTAAACGGATCACTCCTACGTATCTTCGTCACGCAGAAGCTGTATCTATATTAATATAAATAAATAAATAAATATCTATCTCTATAAAGTTTTTCCTTCACGTTAGTTTTAAATTTTATAACAAAAGTACAAACATTGAACGAATTTGTGACTAAACTTTATGAAAGACGGCTGTTAAGAACAGACAGTTTATTTTTGTTCCTCATATTAAATAGGTCTATCATTACTTTTCAGGAAAAAATACTGTATTTCTGAACACAAATTGCATATTTATAAAACTTATCTCTCAGAGACACTCTGGAGCCAAGTTTGTAAATTGCCCTAGCTTCACGAATCTCTTAACTTCCAAGGACCTTCGTTTAAGTTACGCCAGTTTAACATACTTAATGCACGTTTTCAAATAGTTAATCTAACTTCCAGGAAATTCTACAGCCCGGGCTTTTGTATTAAGGTGACGTGTGGCCCAAAATAGACGTTTTGGCTTCGTTCGAATTAGTAATTAATTATTTGTGCCAAAATTTACATTTTGATTGTAGTGTTCCATTTTATGATTAAAAGCAACAGCTATGTAATTAGCACGAATCCTTTTGACGTGCTTGTTATTACTTATTTATTTTATTTTGAATATTTTTATCACATATTGTTTTATAAGTAATATAGCGTAAATTGGAATGTTTTCTTTGTAAAATTAAAAATAAGGTATTTAATTAATAACTATTGTAACTATAGTGAAAAAATAGGGTGGTTTGCATCAATATTAGACATAACTGGTTGAAGACTGTACCACCTCAGTCAACCGTGACCATGGGACCTGTAAAGGGCCCGAAACATCGGTTTGTTTGAAAAAACAAATATACGCGATTTAAATCCGGAAAAATAGTTTCATTTCCTATGTGTAACAATCGCGAAAACCTAAGAACTCGATACATATTGTTTGTTTTCTATAATTGTGTTTTTTTTTGTTTGTGTTTTGAAGTAATTGTGTAATTTATTATATATTTATAACTATTTGTAATTTATGTATTTTGCATAAATAAAGTCTTTTTTTTAAATTTATTGGTGAGACTAGCGCAAAATTGTGGTGGGGTAGTAAATTAAGTCGAGCTGTTTATTTGAAATAACGAGCCAGCAGGTGAAATTACAGGCACGTGGGACTTGTCAACTTATGTCTCAGGGTGACGAGCTCAGTGGCTGAACCCCTCAGATCTTTGCGACTTAAAGCGCTGAATGGCATTGAAACTGTCATGGAGAGGCATGTCGTATATAGTGATAAAAGAGACTCAGTCTTTTAAGGCGTTTTTGACTCTGAAATTAAGACTGGGTGTTCGAGTCTTTATTAATAAAACTCAGTCGTTATACTAAAAGATTCAAAAGACTTAAACGACTTGAATGACTTAAAAGACTCGAGTTGTTTGCAAAGGACTTATACCTATTTTATGTCTTATTAAACCCAAAGTTTACAAAATAAAAATGACGTAAGTAGTACGTAGTAAATAATCACGTTTATTTATAATAAAAAACGTTAAATAAATACCTTGCGGGTAGAAACGAAATCAAGCCATACGGGTCATGACTCGCGACTCCCGAGGCTATGAGGCGCCAGTCGTTTTAGTCCTACAATACTTTTGAGCTTCCTAGTGTTAAAAGACTTCGAATCGAATTAGTCTTCAGTTTTAGTCTAATGACACAAGACTTGAAAGTTAAAAGACTAGACTAGTCGTGAGGCGTTAAAAATTAGTCGAGGTTTTTTAAAAGGCCTTAAAAGACTGAGTCTCTTTCATCTCCAGTCGTGTAACACCAAGGGCTGGATATAATAAAAACAAAAGATCCCCATAATAAAGCCAAATGCAGTAAAAGAACGCAAAATTACCTGCAGGAATTTGACGAGCTTGCACATGAACTCTCCGGCCAACCACGCGATGGTTATCTTCTGGATGATATCAGCGAACACCAAGATCATTCCCACAAACAGATCTGAGGGAAAAAAAGATAATGCTTAAAAAAATACATATTATTGAAACAGCTAAGTCAAATTTACTTTATACGACATCAATAAAAAATGTAACAATTATTATTACTGGTACAAAGATCGAATAAGTACGAAACAAAGAAGAGATATCCCTCGTCAGTCATTGATGCCGACTCCGTACGCTTGCCAAACCATGGCAAGGGCGCGCAAGCACAAACGTGAGGATGGTGTGTTTGGGTTGGCTTGCGCAAGCTTGCATGTGTTTGTCGCCTATCTGGTTTAGTGTCGGTCTTTGTGCACAAATCAAAGGAAGCTTGCGGCAAGCGCTTGCCATGTATCCACGGGTTTGTGTTAGTTAGTATTGTTTGACATCTGTCGACAGATAGATTTATATTTTCTGCTACGTTTGGTTGATAAATGGATATGCCGCATATTTTAAAACAATGACACGTCTTCATAGACGTGACTATAAGATTTAAACCTTTGCCTTTTCCTTAGCGCTAAGAATTTAAACACAACTATTAAAAACAAATCATAATGGTCAAAGAAATTAAAAAGAAGTGATATCTATCAAACGAGACTATTTTATTCTTTCTGGAGTGTAAGCAGAACCCTGCATTTGGAATCCAAAACAAGGATTATAAATACAAAAAGAAAAGAAAAAGCAGCAAATGAACGTTTCCTTTCTTCTTGCTTCTTTTTGTAATAATAATTGATCTAGCCGGACCTAATGCCAGCTCTACACGCTAGATATTTGCCGCAAGCTCCAAACGTCTACAAACGCTTGGCAAACTAGTTTAGACAAACGCTTAAAATCCACACGCTTGCAAGCGCACTAGTGTGCTCCAGAGAAGCATTTTTTTTTTAAATATCAAGTGATGTGACGAACGAGTCGTGCGCCCGATGGTAAACTCCGAACTTTAAATTGCAAAGATCAGGGGCACTGCCACTGCGCCCGTCACCTTGAGACGTAAGTTGACAAATCCCATGTTGCCTATAATTTCACCAGCATCCTTACTCTTCAAAACCGCAACCGTAATGCTAACATTACTGCTTGGCGGCAGAAATAAGTAAGGTGACAATACTTCCCTGGACGCTCTACTGCTACTAAAAAGCGTAATAGACGTTGAATTTTACGGAAAAAAACTATTCGAAGGTCTGCAATGGGCACATGGACAAATTCCTAAGATCTGCTGACTCAGTCTGTAGCTTAGTTGGTAAGAGCAGGAGCCACGCTGCGGCAGCAGTCAATAATTCGAGTCCAGTCAGATCGAAGATTTTTTTTTTGTGTTGTTTGATCCTTGTGTCAATAACTGTAGATCTCTAATTCCATTGCCGAGTATAGATATCAATTTCTCGTTCTAATACGCATAGCATCGACAACTATTGACTAAAACCTACTACAAAAGCTTTCATATTTATTCAAGACTCCATTAGTCGTACATATTTGTCCAAGAAACTACTTCTCTGAGAAGCCTTGATTTTATTTACTTGTTTATCTCTTCATATATCGTCTGTTTAAAGGTGTTACCACATAAGTGACATTTTCTACAAAAAGTCTCTATATCGCTATGGTAAAAAATCATTATCTTTCTGCAGGTGAAACTCAATAACAAAAAGCTATAAACTTAATAAGTGGTTTTATCTGCAGAAAGATGGTGATTTTCTTACAACAGGTTAATAATTTGGAGATTTTTTGTGGATTTGTGGAATGTCACTTATGTTGTTTTACTTTTAACAGACGATATTAGTATTTTATATACCAAAATAATGAATATAAAGAATGAGATAGATTGTAATAATCATAATTACAAGTTACGGCATCGCAATTACTAGACGTTTAAAACATTAAAAAATATTACATATATAGCATATTTAACAGAACAAAAATATTACATTCAAGGGTTCACGTCACGTATAAAGTACTTTATTTAAATAAATAAGAATTAGACATAAAGTACACATCAAAATAATCAACATCGATTTAATTGCCTCCGTGGCCGAACGGTTACCATGCCGGACTGCCACGCAGAGGTCCCAGGTTCGATTCCCGGACCGGGAGAAATATTTGTATGGCCTACAATTATTTCTCTCGTGAGTTTGGGTGTAATTTGTGGTTGTCTATATGTGTGTCCATGGCACCCGCGACACAGGGTTTCCCTAGTGCGGGACTATGTTGAGTGTGTGCGTTATTTAAAAAAAAAATAGCTTAATTGAGTAAAGTAAAACCTAACTAAAAACAAATGCATTTTATTTACATTTTGTGACAAAGTAGAAACGGTTCGATTTTTTTTTTAATTATAATAGTTTGACACCGATTACACAACAGTTTCATTACTAATAAATGTAATGAAAATGCAGCTTAGATTTAATGAAAAGTTTAATGTATAACTTATTACGATATTTCACAAAACACAATAAGAAATAATACAAAATTTATATGTAGACTGAAACGCGTTTTTGTGGAGTCTGTTAACTTTAAAGCGACTGTCCTCCTGTCTGACGCCTCGGGCAACTCGCCCGAGGGGATGATACGATACTTCTACACAAATATTTTTCAATTAAAGTCAACGCAAACTCACGAGAATGCAAAGTCAATCTCGAACCACTCGACAAACTTATAGTAGAAGGGAATTTAAAGAATACCTAAATGTTAAAAATGACAGTCGACTAATTTTCTTTTCAAATTCAAATTCAAATTCTTTATTGCGTAAAACATGAACCCTGCAAAGGCACTGCAATCTTAAAATTATATTAATTTATTAACAAGCAAATTTTATTTTATAACATTGATCCTTATAGAATTGAAATAAAATTTAAATTTCAAATTAATTAAATATAATAAAATTTGGCAAATTTGACAAATTAAATAAGTTATAAGTTATAACTTATTTAATTATTTTTTTTATTAAAAAGTTTCAAAATAGACCTATTTATTTATTTATTTATTTATAAGGTAAGAGGAATTCTTCTTATACATATTCTTATCACGGTTACACACACAGAACAATAAATACAGTAGAAGTGATTAGTTAGCTCCAGACGTGTGCCAACAGTAGGTCTCGAAAGACCTATATGAGTTCAGTCCGCCATTTTCACTTTGTATGGTTGCGCAATTCTTTTCAATTCAATTCAATTCATTTATTCATTCGTTATTACAGGTACATGATATAGATGGTAATAATAATTTTACGGAATCTCTGCAATAAGCCAAAGTGGCATACGAAGTCAAATAAATAAAAATGTAATGTCAAAATAAAAATAAAAGAAAAATGGATACAATGTCAAAAAACTAATAATAATTAAAAAGTGTAAAAATATTAATAACTAAATGGTACCCAACTGTCAGCATTTACCTATTCTAAGAAACTGTCATTAAAATATTCTTCTATGCTATAGTAACACTTGTCAATGAATAATTGTTTTAATACATGCTTGAATTGCATTCCACTAAGATTTTTTATTGCGTCTGGAATTTTATTAAATATTTTGGGTGCCATGTCAACAACGCTATTTTTGTATAAGGCCGTTTTACATATATTTCTTCGGACCATATATTTCCTGGTACGAAATAAGTGCGCTTCTGAAAATTCTTCGTTAAAATCTTTCGTGCAAATTCTCTAAAATCCTAGAAAAATGCCTTATTGTGACGTTTTCGAGTGCAAAAATGATAGCTGCACCAAAACTATTACCCATAGTAGAATTTCAAATCGACGGTAAGTCTCAATAAATTTTCAATTTTCTAGTTATCTATTCGTTCAGATGTTAATCGTTCGTCGTACTCCAGCTACAGGCCACAAGATGGCAGCATGTTGAATAAAATTTCAATATAAAATCAAAACGTCACAACGTGTAATAAAAGTATTGCACTTTCAACGATGTATCGACTGAGTAAAGTTTAAATTATATTAACGATCCAGAATTTGTTGCATCTTTTTAAATTGGAAACCATGACCAATCATTATCAAGATTTCATAGTGTATGTTATTTTGTTTTTTTTTTGTTTTTTTCTTCCGTGTACTATACGACATTTTTGTTATCTAATAACATAACACTGTTGTTTTATTTGGACCTTTTTGTGCTTACATATTTTCATTGCGATTAACGTCTCTTGTATGACAACGAATATCAGCCATATTGAATTATTGCTACCGCCTTGTACCTTATGCTCTGGCAGGTTTCTTATGATGGCAACTTGTATGCATTATTAGGTGTTTGATGTACTTGTAAAAATATTTGACGTACAGACAAACATGCAATCACTGACAAATTTGACCGTCTACACATGGAACTAAATAAGGAGTACTTGCGTGTTTGCCTATTTGGCTCCTTTGCCTAAACAACGCATATACTTTGTCACACATGGTGATACGAATTTACGAAAAATATAATATCAAATATAAATGGCCATGTGAAGTGTCACCATAAATCAATAGATTTTTTTAAAAACAATTAGTATACGCGTGAAACACGTCCTTATTTCTGTAGGTGAGAGATAAAACTTGTGAAGTCCCCAACCCGCATTGGGCCAGCGTTGTGGACTATGGCCTAAACTCTTGCCTAAAAGAAGACGGTTTTCCATCACAATTTTGTTACAATTAACTGATTTCACTGGAGTAATACATAGCTCCTTCTGAGAGAGTTCGTCCAGGGAAGTACTGCTACCTTACCTATTTCTACCGCCCTTACCTTACCATACCTATTTCCGGTTATGAAAGGTAAGGGTGCTGGTGAAATTATAGGCACATGGTACTTTTGAACGTATGTCTTAGGGTGACGGGTGCAATGGTAGCGCCACTTAGATCTTAGAGATTCAAAGCTCTGAGAGGCGTGTGGCTTATCATCAGGCGCACGACTTGTTCGCCCCGTCACTTAGTATTATAATAAAGGCTGTTTTCAACTGACTGTTTTCGACTATCCGAAATTCATTAATATTATAATAATATTTTTTAATAATAAATCTTTCAGTTTTTCTTTTAAAATTTTTTAATTTGTTTTATTCTTA